GAGCGGGGCTTTTCGCCCTCCCGGGGGCTCCTCGCCTCAGCTGCTGACTTGCCGCCTCCTGGCTGGCGTTCAGGGTGTGGGATGCGCTGCCCGGGGCAGCCGCACCTCGCCTGAAAGTCGTCCACACGCTGTAACCCAGGCGGTGCAGCCATCGCTGTCCCTGGAGGGGAAACTTCCCAGCTCTCCTTCTGGGGCAGCTAGGGCACTTCTGGCATCTCAAAGTGAACATTTAAGTGAATCTCTGCAATTTCAAAAATGGTTTCAGTTAAAAATTGCTTTTAGAATGGGGGCTTGGGAAGCCCGGAGGTTTTCCACATAAACTTTGAAGTTTGGGGTTTGACTTTAGAAAACTTCTAAATTCTACTCGGATTTCAAGAAAGGGGCATGTTTCGGTGGGCCAAGAAAAACCTTCCTGTGAAAAAGTGTGACCGGGCACATGCAAAAATACAACCTGCCCAAGGGTTCTTCATAATGCGGGGCAGACTCTCTGGGGACAGCAAAACCACCGAAAGGCAGTTTGTGGATAGAGCTGTATTGAGAAAAGAAAATGGCTCTTTATGAGGGAAGTAGAGCTGCTATATGTCACCCTGGGCAGACGTTCTGCATTGCCCAGCGATGGCTCTGTCTGTCCCACGTCTTTGGGCTGTGTCCGTCCTACTTCCAAGCAGCCAGGTATGGTTTTCCCCTGTGTGTAGCTGCTGGTGGGTGACCTCTCGGGACGTGCTTTGCAGTATACGAGAGCAGCTCGACGTCCCAGGGCATGCAGGGTCATGTATGTTCTTGCTTTGCCTGAGCCCACACAAACAGATACACTGCTTGCACGGCCTGCAAGCCTGGCGCTGAAGGCTGCCCTCGGCTTGCAGGACAGACATGCCTCTTGGCTACATCTGTGGTAGCAAGTGAAGCTCTCCCAGGCCTGCTGTCGGGCCCCAGGGAACCGCCTGCGACTGTGGCATGAAATCCTGTCGCCATCCAAACAGAGGAAACCACACGCAAACTGCCTCCTGGAAATGGTCCCTGGCCCGTGCTCGCGCCCAGCCTGAGCCTAGCAGTTGTTTGGGAGAATGGTAGCTGGGTTGAGCCAAGGCTGCGCCCAGGACCGTGCTGCCATTTTAGCAGTGCAGATGGTCCAGCTGCAGAGCCCGAGAACATCTTGTGTCTAGACGCAGCTGTGTCCAGAAGTGCATCTTCTCCTGCGCCACTTAAAATGTCAAAGCGGAAGACAGCTCTAGCACTGCCTCGGCGTAGCCAAGATGTGTTGTAAAGTCGTTGCTCTTCCATTTTAGCTGCTCGAGTCAGTCTGGCCAATGCGAATGCCGGCCCCACATGTTTGGACGTCAGTGCAACCAGGTGGAGCCTGGCTATTACTTCATTTCACTCGATCATTACATCTACGAGGCGGAGGAAGCCAGCTTGGGTCCTGTGAGTAGCAGTTTTAGTGGGCTGGTGTGTCTGAACAGCTGTGGGAAAGTTGTTTCACTATTTGGGTGTTGGAAACATCTGTTTTATACCCTGACTGTTTTGCAGTTAAAATGTGGAAAACACAAAACTGAATTGTATCAGAAAACTGTCAACCTGTAGCTCTTCAATCTTAGCCTTGATAAATAATGTAGTAATTTGGGGGGTGAAACTGCCATTTTTCTTTTTAAACCTGTTTCTTTGATCACAACTGTACAGTTAGTTTCCTGTCAGCATCTCTCTCTGTACCCCGCTGCGTACGCACCCGCCGCACCCACTTCTCCTTCCCCTCTTATCTCAAGAGCGGTGGGACACCGACACTGCCTCCTCTTTGGTGACACTGAAGCTGGAAAGGAACAAAGCAGGCATTTAAGCACATTGCTGCAGCTTTTAGAGTTTCTGTACATCAGCAACGTTTCTTTTATTAATGACTAAAACCATAGTTGATTGTGCAAAAAACTGTTTTTGTAAGTGAGGTTGCCTCTAGCTTGTTTTGCCCGCTGACATGGTATTATCAGGGTCTATGGCTCTTTCCATTCACCACCGCACAGCTTGCTTTTAATTCATTAACAGCAGCTAGGTGATTACATCAATTATTTTTGCCTCCAGCAAGGAGTCAGGGAGATGAGAGAATGGTTTCTCTAAAGCAGCAGATCCTTGTCTGCCTGCAGTCAGGGCACTTGGTCCTAATTTATTTATTTCAGGCAAAATGCAGCTGCTTTGCAGTTTCAGCCAAGGCGGAGGATTTTTGCTGCTAGGTAACTGCAGAGAGGGAAGGCAGTGCAGGGCAGACGCTGGGCTGCAGCGACGGCGTGTGAGCTGGCACGGGGGTTTTGGTGTATTTGTGTCTGCCCGGCTGGAGAGGGGGTACCCGTGGCCTCGCCGAGGTTCGCGGATGGAGGAGCCAGGCGTGAAAACCCACCTTGCCAAGCAGAGCGAGGGAATGTGCCGCTGGTTTGCCTTTTGAAACCCTCGGAACTAACCATTTTAAAAAAACACCAACATTGAAAAGCTTTCTCACAAATCTGGTGGCAGAATAAAACTCCGAATTCCCAGACAGGGGCCCAGCACAAGACAAAACAAAGTGGCACAGAGTTGCAGGGATTTTCAGGCAGTGCCAAGCCCCCGTGCTCCCCACAGCTGCACACCCCCGCCCACATCCCGCCTGCCATCCTTTCTGGGGAGCTCCGACCCTTTGTGCAAAGCCGAAGGGTAATAGCTTAGAGCCAGGCCCGCTTCAAAGAGTGTGAGAATACATGAGGGGGCATCCTGAAGCGATATGTATATATATAGACATTTCCTTACATTTTATCCCTTCCTACTGAAGCAGCTTCCTTGGGAATGCACAGGATGTTGTTCTATGGAGAGAACTATTCATGGATGCAGATATATTTGAAACGGGAAGTTTGAACACCACACATTTCCATTTTCTGTTGCCTTTTGCCTCCTCTTTGCTTTATATAAAGAGTAGCAGATAAACACCTGGCACCTCAGACTGAAAGGGGTGACCACGTATTGACTTGGCTATTAAATATCTATCGAGATGGTTAGGATCTCTGTTATTTAGTGACACCCTACGCATGACGGCTGTGATCTGCTCTTCAAATCAAATGCTGAGCAGTGGTTTGATTTGGAGCGGCCCACTGTAGTCAGGAAGTAATTAGCACTCGGCTTGGGTGGTTAATAGAGCAGTTATGTGCCATTACTGCCACTGCAGTAAATTCTGCTGCTACAAGTATGATGTGAAAGTCCTTACAGTGAACGAGATGTTGGATTAGTTACAGCGAGTTTTTAAATTTAATTCCCCACTATAACAGGAATGGGTGAAGAGTTGTGTAGTGTTGTTTTATTTTATCTTTCTTGCTTTTTGTATATTGTGAAGTAGAAGGGCAACAGTGTGCATACACATGGGTTTAAAAAAGAATTCATGTTCTTTGGGATGCAAATGATGGATGCTGCCAGAAGTGATGCAGAAGTGATCCATCAGCAGAACTCATTGCTTCATGCACTCCTGTGGGGCTTGCAAATTTAATGTATTGGTATTAAATCTCTCTTCCCTCTTTTCGTAGGGAGTAAACATTATAGAGCGCCAGTACACACCAGATCGCACACCGTCGTGGACAGGCATAGGATTTGTAAGGGTCCCTGAGGGGGCATACCTGGAATTCTACATCGACAACATCCCCTACTCCATGGAGTACGATATTCTGGTCCGCTATGAGCCACAGGTAGGTCTGTGAGTATGGGCATATCCAACGCATAGCTGACAGGAACCCAGTGCTTCCAGAAGTCATGGACTCAAAGACAAGGATGGACGCTCAGTTAAATGTCTGAGATGCATGAAAATCCAAGAAGATGTTGACTATTACTACTATTATTTGCTTTACAGTTTCGTTCATTATTGCCTTGTTTCAGCACCTGTTTAATGAGCAAATTAAAAAGTGACAAGTCCTGTCAGGACAAATTAGAATATGAATTTGGCATCAGCCAGACAGGATTCCAATGGGTGGAAATACTGTTATCCGCCTTAGGAGACAAATCTTCTGTCTTGGATGGTGAACACCTGCAGCCAAAAGCTTGCAAGCAGTCAGTTTTGACTGTGGATAATTTGCAGGGCAGAGGGAAAGGGAAAAATCTCCCTAGCTCCTTTCCTGGAGCTTAGCAGCAATTGACTGCAGTTGAAATACTCAGGTGCAGTACCCAGAGGTGGGGGCAGAGGAGGTCACCAAACCCCTTACCAGTGCTGTGCCACAGATGGGTCTGCTGACCACTTGCACCTCGTCATGGCTTTTTGGGACGGAGAGAGGCTGTTATGCTGGAGGATGCCCAGGGGCATGTGCCTTGTCTTGCCTCAGCCCAAACCCGCAGCTGCTAGATGCCCCGTTGATGCTGGAGCTGCAGCATCTCAAAGTTGATCCCCGTTGATGCTGGAGCAGCTCCTCAAAGCACAGTGACCACCGCGTCTATGCGCACGCTTTGCCTGGCCAGAGCTCTGGATGCTCCCGGGAGCTTACGGATGTTGCTTGATGCTGATCAGCCTTTTTTCCTCCCAGTTGCCAGATCAGTGGGAAAAAGCTGTGATCAGCGTCTCGCGCCCAGGCAAGATTCCCACGGGTAGTCGGTGTGGCAACACAGTTCCTGATGATGATAATCAGGTCGTCTCGCTGTCACCCGGCTCCAGGTCAGTATAACTGGATGGGCCAAAAGGAGAAAAAAAAAAAAATCACTTAAAAAATCAGAACAGAGAAACATCATGTTTTCAGTTTGGAGTGGCCTCTATGAAAATTAATGAAATTTAATCTCCAATGGGTTATAAAATCATATTTAGTATTGTGTCTGTAGACTCAAAGCTTTAAGTTTATTCTCGTTGTCCAATTTGTTTTCTTCGCTGAGTAAAGAGTGGGGGAAGTGTTTGCACAGCCTGTGAAGGAACACCGGTATGACTCTACCTTGCCGATAAGCTTTTCCGGTTCTGACTTGCACAAGTCTCCAAACCGCCTCTTTCACATCGTAGCTTTTGTTCTTCCCGGTCTTGGCTGCTTTCCGCTATCTCAATTGCTTTATAGGGCCACCTGAAACACTTTATGGTGCTGGATGTTTGAAGTAGGAATTGTTTCCTGTTCCTCATCCAGATACGTCGTTCTCCCACGGCCTGTCTGCTTTGAGAAGGGGCTGAATTACACCATCCGCCTGGAGCTGCCCCAGTACTCCTCGGTGGATACGGAGACGGAGAGCCCGTACACACTCATTGACTCTGTGAGTAGAAATTATTTCAGGGATACTCTGGTGGAAAAGTATATTTAAAAGCTTGAAAGTTTGCATCTCTTCTGGGATGCGTCTGTATAAATCCCAAGTAATATTTAACAATGGTGTTGCTTATGACTGAAGACAGATTTTAACTGAACGCTGTGAAGCAGCGTACGTTTCTTCAGTCTTGAAGTATGTGGGTTGTTTTTCTACGAAGAGGCTTTTGCTGTATTTTACAGCAGTGCAGATAGTTCCACAGACCTGAACTTTCACAGTAGTTCCTTTGGGAAGACTAATGTGTGCAACCTATGTCATGAATGTCTACCTTTTTCTTTTGAATGGTTAGAATTTGGCAGATGTGGTAAGAATTTGGTAGATACCAGAACTATTCCATCAAAAACTAGAGAATTCCTGTTATTACCCTTCCAAATTCTGTCTGGCTGTTTCCTTTTTGGCCAAAAATGGATGATAGGAAGTGGGATAATACTGAATTTTCACAATTTTGGTGGAGGCTATTTATAAATAGTGACACTGTCACTGTAAAATTGTTTTGTAGCTTGTTCTCATGCCATACTGCAAATCACTGGACATATTCACAGTGGGAGGCTCCGGTGAAGATGTAGTTACGAACAGCGCTTGGGAAACTTTCCAAAGATACCGGTGTCTGGAAAACAGCAGGAGTGTTGTGAAAACCCCCATGACGGACGTCTGCAAGAACATCATATTCAGCATTTCTGCTCTATTACACGAGACCGCGTTATGTACGTAACCACCTCCTTGTAGGGCAAACTGCTGCTGGAAGCTTGATGGCACCTCCAGGCAGAGCTGTTTGCACGGGGAAGGCATGTGCATGAGATGAGGCTGGTGGTTCATGTCCTGCACTGTGGTGCTCATTCCTGGCGATGCTTTTCTCCGCTCAGCGTGCCAGTGTGACCCCCAGGGCTCCCTGAGTTCGGTGTGTGACCCCAGCGGAGGACAGTGCCAGTGTCGTCCCAATGTCGTCGGAAGACAGTGCGACAGATGCGCCCCTGGCACCTTTGGGTTCGGGCCGAGCGGATGCCGACGTACGTCAAACCCTTGGCTCCAGGCTGCGCTGCGGTCGGGGCCCTGCGTTTAGGGCTTGCTGGGGAAACGCAGCACCTGTCCCCCTCTCCTTGCAGCATGCGAGTGCCACGTCCGAGGCTCTTACAATGCCTTCTGCGACGCGGAGACGGGCCAGTGCCACTGCTTCCCCGGGGTGTATGGGCGGCAGTGCGACCGCTGCCTGCCCGGCTTCTGGGGCTTC